TAAACACAACCTTGTAACTGCATGCTGTGAAGTGTATATCTCGATGGTCACACTGTGGGATTTTGTTTATAATCTTGAAAATTGAAACCTTCGGTACAGATGTTTCCGCAACATTTGACTCCGGGAATAAACAACTTTTTTTCTTATGGTTTTTCGTCGAAGCAGCAGCCACTGGTTTCTCGTAAAAGTGAGCTCATCTCTTTGCCTGTGTCGTCAGCAAACATGAGTGAAAATGCCGGGTAGAAAATAGCAGTAGCATTTATTGCTCCAGATTTAATATTAAGTACAATGTTTTGGCTTCTCTCAAACCAAAGAGGCGTGGACAAGAATAAACCCCGGGGGCGGCAATTGGAACAAAGAAGGACATCTGTGATTGAGTTTCCGAGAAACATGGAAGGCCACCCCGCTTGTTTCTAGGAAATACCTCATGACGAAGCAAAAACACAGTGGAGTGGGAGAGTTGGGGTAAAGTATATGAAACTGCGCAAAATTTTCGCTTGAGAATTTTTTTTCTTTACTGAGTATCCGAGCGCCAATGGCTAACCGACTCCACGACTCAAATCAATGAGGGTACCAGGGCTGCCTTGATTTAAAGGTTGACACGTTGAGCTCTCCAAAGAAAGGTCACTTAACCATTTGATTTCACTGTATTGATCGACATTACGAAGAAGACCTGTAGGTCAAGAATATATTTCTGCGGCAATGGACGAACGTTCCGCTAAAATGCGCATTTTCGTGGTAGATCGGACTCTTCATTTTTGTACGCACGTGAAGGTTAAAAAAGTTTCAGTTTTATTTTTTTGGTATATATTTTTTTTATTTTAGCATGAATTGGCACACGAAATAAATGACGACGAGAATTATTCAGGAATATTAATAACATTTGAAATGATGGCTTCATCACTTAGACGGATTTGAATACGATCTTGAAAATCAATAAAACTTTTTCAAAATTGTGAATTGGTGTTGATATCAAACGGAAAGCTGAAGCAGATTCTTTTAAAGTTCGGTTTTGATGATGCAGTGGGGTATTGTGGTGGCCATGCGTGTTTTCTGAAGGAAAGGTTCTCGAAAATTGGAGATTTCTTCTTGTTTTTCAGAGAATGTTGATTTGGGTAATAGGTCAATTTTGGGGAAAGGAGAAAGGAGATATCGAGTTAGGAAGATAAAATTTCTTTCCCTGAATATTCCGAAATTTTCTTTCGCTAGGATATTCAGTTAATGGGCAAAGACTGAAAGAGTGCAGGAGATAAGGAAAGCATTGGAATGCCATAGCGCGTGTTTTTCAAGCGTAGTTTCCTTTGCCCTGCTTTTCAACTGAGATGCAACTTCACAGCAAATCAAATAGTGCATGTCTTGTTTGTTGTACGTGTTTTATTTTACATATCTTGTTGAGTTATAACGAATTGTCTTTTTGTTTAGTTGTTCAGAACGAAACCAGAGAACAAATTTCTTGGAAACCCTATTATTCAACGTCATTTGTCCGAAATTGCAACCACGGAAGTTCAAAGTGATAGTAACAAAAAGAAATTTTCACTTTTCAGTAGAAACACAAAGAACTCAAACAAGAGCTTAGAATTCGACTTTTTACATAATTTAGTTTACATTCTTTTTGTAAGAGTTGTTAGATATAGTATTTACATAGTATGAACGCTCATTTCACTCAAAAATAAAGACGTAACGGCGACTTTTGTAATGAGTTGTATTTATGTACATACTCTAAACATTTCCCAGAGTTAAATTCATCCACGAACGAAAACGAATAAGTGTGTCAATAATGCATTTACATAGGGTAGGGATATTGTGATAAATATGACTTCACCGGGTGAGGAATCCACGTTTGTTTTACATCAGTTTCACCAGTGGCGAGAATTTGACGATTTAAAGCCCTGCGACAAAGATGTTGCAAACTAGAAACTTCCTTATATAATGGGCTCCATAGGATAAATAGCGGAGTTCCTCTATTGCCCAAAGTTTTGGTTACTTTCTCCTTAGTCTGTAAAATCCCTGTTGAGACCAACATATAGTAAAATACCATCTTGACAACACAGTCAAATTTTGGTGGAGAATAATTCTTGACTTCTTCGTTTCTCGGTTCCATAAATGTATCATTTCTGTCCAAAGAAAAGAAGCCCTCAGTGAAATTTATCCGCACGTTTGTTATTCCGGTGGCTGTGACTAGTGTTATAGTGAAAAGATGCCTCGAGTCCGAACTGTCGCGAACCAGAAATTGTCCGACGGGTTTCTCGCGTAATAAAGATTTTGCTTTGACTGCAGATATTGCTCCCCAGTAAAATCCGCTCTCCTCCAATTTTTTAATCACTGGATCCAGGGAAACTGTTTTAATTCCAGCGCTCATCGAATCTTTGACTACGAAACTGTCTCTGAAACGTCTGTACTCAAAGCCGTGGCGAAATCGCTTTGAGTCAAGTTTGGTCTTTCTGGAGAGACATTGCTCCTGTCACTAATTCCTTGAATCTACCAACGTGGTTTCTCTAAAACTGCTTGCTCCTTTGTGATCAGAAACTCATTTGATTGTGTTTTTATATTTTTTGAGAGTTTCCGGGAAATATTTCGCATACCCCGGCTGTGCTGTCATTTCCTAGAATTCCGGAAGTTGGTGTTAAAAAGGGTGAAAGATTTTCTTGGAAAAAATAGAATAAAATTAAGTTTTAGCAATCATTAGAAGCAAGATGGCCCAAAAAATTATGAAAGGGCTAGCTGTTAGAAAGAGACAAGGTGGACATTTTAATTATGCTCCATTCAGCAACGTATAGTGGATATAAAAGCACATCACGGAACTTGCTTATATACCGTTACATGCTGCGGGGCTTTCTACTACGTAGACCGGAAGATGGAAACGAATCTATTCTCCATTGGTCTCGAAATTATTCTATTTCCTCATTTTTGTAAAACTAAAATAAGTTAACCTTTTTTTTTAGAGACTCATGATGAATTACAGCCGAGAGAGCACAATTAGTATTACGTGCTACTTGTTTTGCCGATGAAATACTGTAATCAACTTGAGATTTCATAATTTCTCTACTTGCGTTCGCTGTTTCCTTACATTTCTTAAAATGGGAAGGATTTTACTTGCTGCTCTTGTTTAACAAAAGCAGTTTTCAAAAGAAGGAAGCGCATGTTTCTCTGTATTCGCTTTTTAACGGAAATTGTGAAATCACCGTTTGTGATGCTCACTTCTGCAGTTACATCCCTTGAAGCAAGTTGAACACCCACGAAATGACGTTTTTGCCTTGAAACACTTTTTGAGAAGCACGTACGCATAATTTAAGGTCAAAGTACGTTTCAAATCGTTAAGGAACCAAAATTCTCTGTTTCCAGCTAAAGTGAATGTTATAAAATGAAGTGATAGACGTTCAATCTTGCGTACAATAGAAAACATTATGAATATTCATAACAAAGGTTTTTCCGAGAATCCGAGTTAAGTGGATTATAACTTTCCGAGAAATTCAGCTTTTTATTTCAAAACAGTTTACTTATTGGTAAGGGGTAGAGAAAATTCCAGACTCAGATTACAGCCTCCCTCAAGAATTTGAGTGATTCAGTGACTAACTTTTTGGGAAGGAAAAGAGGGTTGGTGAGTCAGAGAATAGCCTACGGCGATATGAGCACCTAGAACAATGACACGGGCGTAGCGATGAAAATTCTAACTGTCAATAAAATGAAATAAGTCCATTTTGGCTTCTTTTATTTGTGAGTTAAAGTGAAATTACTGCCGAAGAGAATTAATTTGAATTGTCACACCAACGGATATTTAAAATTGGTCAGAAGACTCAAAACTGAGTTAGAACGACGCTTAATATATATTTATCGAAACTGATAATACCTTTATAGAAATTAAGGCAAATCCTGATGCTACGTAGTCTGCTACACAGCCGTTTTTAGTGTCGTCACGCAACGCTGTGGGGAGGAGCGTTGCGTGACGACACTAAAAACGGCTGTGTAGCAGACTAGATGCTACGCGTACAAATCTCAAATAATCAACTATAGAATATTCGAACAACAGTCTGTTTCAATATTTTAAAGCTAAAAGGATCCTTTACTGACGGATCCGAACTTTAATTCCACTCTTTTGGTGAATTTGAAAAGATACATAGAACTCTGCATTGCTCTTGATGCCCTGTTTTTGTCATGTGCATAGCCGTACGCCACCACGATCTTCCAAGAATTCTCTATGTTCGAATCCCCACGGTACACTCTGTTTGCACCCGCCCCCCCCCCCCCCCCCTTCAAAAAAAAATTTTTTAAAAATACCCCAACGCGAAACAAATTTTTCCAAAAACCTCTAAAAAAAAAAAACTTTGGAAAAAATAGTTTGACAACAAAACTGTGAGGAAACATGGGAAGGTTGTTTTTTGTTCCCCTGTTTTTTGGGAGCGCTTGGCAAGCCGCCTCCCTAACCTCCAATTATTTTTTGCTTTTTTGTGCCCCAGGTTTGCGCCTTGTTTCCCCCGCCCCCCCCCCCCCCCAGTTTAAATATACAATTGTTTAAAAATGCCCCAAGGTGAACGACATTTTTCCAAGAGCATTTAAAAACAATAACGTTTGCAAAAATTGGTGCGCAAACAGAGTGTACTGGAAACTTGGAAAATAGTCAATGCCAGCACTATCTTGTATTGTAAACAAAGAAAGTTTTACTTACTGTCAATGTGACTGTGCTTCTCGCAAAAGAATGAAACCAGGTGGCTATTTTCACAAATAAATAGAGTGTCCAGGTGGGCAGCTCCACAGGTGGGTAGGTGGGCGTGTGGGTGCACAGGTGGATGGGGGGCTGGTGGCCAATTGAACAGGTCCACAGCTGGGTAGGGGAGGGGAGGGTGGCTACACATGTGACATTTCATATCGTATGACCTACAACAATCTTCATTGTCTATTTAGGCGGGAAAACCCCTTTACACCCTCAAGTTCGATTTCAGCGAAAATGACAGGAAAACGCAAACCTGCTCACATGCAAGTTTTCTAATAAATTATTTTAAGGGTGATTGAATTTTTTAAAATCCGTTCTTGGATTTCCGGTCAATAAAACACGAATTCCTTGTACCAAAAATAGACCTTAATTAACGAGTCCCATATAAATGTCTTTTAATGGATTTCTTGTCTTATTTGGAAAGAAAGATAATAAAATTACTTTGTCAAAGCGTGCACCTTGAACACCTTTACAGAGGAAAAGCTGCCAATGTTTCAAGCACGTGCGTTAGCGTTTTACTTGGAATATAATACGTCCAAACTCGAAAACAAATTCCAATTACAGCCACGAAATTTTATCTCTTATTAAACTGAAACAGGAGTCTGATAAAATATGGAATTTAAGTGAGCTAAATTTATATTTTCATCTTCATCCGGCGGACGTTTCTATTTCTTCCGATTATTCCTTTTATAACCAAATATATATGATATCCTGTCCTCAGAAAAGTAAATCGGCCGAGCAAAAAGTCTCGTATCTCACTAATATACAGTATACTGAAGTAGGCCAACGTTGTTTCTAATCAACCTAGTCTTTTCGTAGCGTTGTCGGTTAAGCATGGTTTTCTTTGAATACTGCGTTCAGTCGAGTCACATGAAAGCAAACACGGTTCCAATCCTGTAAAAATATCGTCCAAAATCGTCTTGTGCTGTCACGTGACCATACCCCACATTTTTAAGGGTATCAAACGTTGTCTGGCAGGTTTGGTCAGCGGTTTTAACCTAGTTATTTTAAACGTAGAGAAGGCCTGAGAACCAGCAGTGATAGCTTCTGTTTGGAAAAGAAAAGAAAAAGAAACAGCAAACATCTTCCTGTAGCTTTCCAAATTCGTGTGCTGGGAAAGCCGAAGAGCATTACTAAAGAGAGCATCGAAAGGAAGGAAGAAAGGCTTAAACATTTAAGCCCTAAGAGTGATCAGCATCAAATTTCTCCTTGTAACATCAATGCTTTATAAAACAGAGTGGTCAGGAGAATTACGGACATGATCACACAAGATGGATTTGCGTGATATTTTATCAACTTCTCCCCACTACTTCTGTAGGAAATGAATAGGGGCAACAAATGAGAATTCAAACTTTGATGTTAGGGTTTAAGGGCTTAACTTATCCGCAATTTCATTACTGCAAGAGCCATGTTATGGCTCTTGATTACTGGGATCAATTATCCGAGGTGCTCAAAGAAAATCACGTTTTCCCCCTAGTATCTTGTCTTTAAGTATTTTAAGAACACTTGATCTTCCCTTTGACGTAGTAGCGAGAGTATCGTTTACGTATCGTAAGTGTCTTGAGTTTTAGTATCTTTATCTCCACCTCAGCCTGCGTCGTTTACACTTGCATTAAATCAATTGCTGACACCAAGAGCCATCATAACTTAAAATCACATCAATAGCACAGTATCGTCTGAGAAAAGGACGGCTCTTGCTGAAACCAAATTATTTCCAAAAAACACTACAAAAGCTGCATCGGAGCGACCGGTCAGCAAAGAAATAGACAGCAAGTAAGGAAATCATCTTTTATGAATTATAAGATAATGATTAATATCAAATTGTACAATTTTTCACCTAAACATCGTCCCCAGGATCACAACCTAGCTCCCAGGGCTTTCTCCTTGGAGGGAACCCTGGGAACGAGGCAACTCAGGGCCCTTCTCTTCATCTTCTCTGTCACAAAGTCACTACTTTCTTGAGAAGTGGTTTCGGATGAAGAGATCGAGAGACCCTGGAGACTACTCTACACGTCATCCACAGGCCTGACAGTAACGTTTATCAGTCAGGAGGCCTGGTTACCTTGTTTTGAATATCAATAGGGATTACGTCACTTGGTTTATTACTGCAGTGAGGGGAGGCCGGGCACCCGACTATTAAAACGTGGCTCTCATTAACCCATAGTCGCCACAGACTTTTGTGAAAACCGCGCGCATCTAAGTCCCAGATCTTTAAACACCGAGCAATATTGAACCACGTGGTCCAGTCGGAAGCGTGGTCCATTCTGATGTAAAAAACATAAGACTTGTCCTTCGTTGAGGGGACGAAATCATTGCGGTTTGTGCATGGATTTTTTGAATGATCCAAGACTTCAGCTTCTCTGAAAATAAAAGGAGCGAGTCAGAGAAAACCGTCATTGAAACTGCCAAATGTCTTGTACATGACCTACATATACGTGTCGATTTGAAATCGTTAAAATAGCAGAATGTTTGATTTCGGTAGAACCTATGAAAATTAATTGACAGCAATGTAATACAACTATTTTTAACCGCGGGCAACTTCCTAATCTTGCGCTACAAACCTTTTAACTTCTTTTACTTCCCCGTCATTTTTTTTCGAATACCTTTTGATGTTAAATTATTATGTTTCTACGTTTTCGTCGTAAAGTTCGTAAAAGCTGTTGGCGAATCTTAGGCTGTCAGTTCGGTTTCGGAGCGGGTGCTTTTCACATGACCTCAAGAAAAAAAAAGATTCAAAAGGCGAGAGGTAACACTAATTCGACGAGGGAAGAATTAAAATAAATGTTGCTCCTATGAATAACTTAATAATTGTAGTGAAAAGGTTGAGTTTATTGTAGTGACTCGTTTTATCAGTAAGACACTTCAAATGCACTCAATTAGTTTCTGCGTCATCAAAGACACGGTAGGCAACAAACGATGACTCCTTATTTCTAATTATAGTTCTTAGTGTTGAGGTGTCTGGTTAACTGACCACCTACCCCTCCCTTAAGGCTTAATTTGTCTTAAGCGAGAAGTAAGTGTTAATATTGACATAGGGGAGGGGTAGGTAGTCCAGATACCAACAAATCAATTGATCCCTTTAGTCGAGCTGTCTTTATCTTTTATTTTTAATTATTTACCTTATGAGTCTCCCTAGTTCCTTTTCGTAAATGTCCTTGTACATAATGTCCACGTTCAGCTTGACATTGCGTTTATCATTGAGCGCATGTTTAGTGAAGTAATAATGTTGCATAAAAGGGTTCATATTTAGGCCTGTGGCACCAAAATGGTAGGTGCGAGAGACATCCGGGATAATGCACTCACGGTTCTTCCGCATCTCGTTGTCTCTCATCCACATGTCCCAATCCCAGAATACATCGGGCCCGGGCCACACTGGTTCTAATTCTCCTTTATAAAGTTTTCGGCTAAGTACCCTGGATATTTAAAGAAAAAAGTAGAAGGTTAACACGAACCCTTGAACACGCGTAGTTGGCCGTTAGTTTAGTTGACTGAGTGGCACATACACGCGTAATGTGCCAGCGAGACGGCACACTATTCGGGTGTAACATTGTTAACACGCGCAGTTGGTTAGTTTATGATTATGCGAGACATACACGCGCGATATTTGACGTCACCTAATATTGCGCGTGGAAGCCCCTCCATGTCGTTCACAGATTACGCCAATCGGTTGCGGTCTTTAAAGGTTCCTGTGTGATGGCTTGGAGAGCATCACACAGGAGAAGCTTAAATTTGTTACCTTTCCTGTGCAAAAGACAGGAGAGAATAACACAAGAGAATCTTAAATTTGTTACCGTTCCTGTACGATAGCAAGGAAAGAATAGCACATGAGAAGCTTACATTTCTGACCGTTCCTGTGTAATGGACAGGAGAGCATCATCAAGAGAAGTTTAAATTTCTTACCATCCAAGGCCAGGCATTGTTTCTACTCTGTACATCATTGCAGGATCCTTTGCTGTGTGAGCATAACCCTGGCAAGAAAGACATTTAGGCCAGGCATTAATCACCATTATCATTTAACTGTCCACAAGGACTTACTCAATTTTTGGTCAAGTTGTTCAGGTAATTTGACGCTGACCTACGACTTGACACATGTCTCTTATTTTGATTGAAAGAGAGCGTTAAAGTCGCAAATTACGAATTAATTGTCCGTTAATGACGTCGGCATTATCCGAGATTTATCCGAAGTCGTCCGAAGATAGCGGAACTCCTTTCGAATATTTCCAAACTCAAGCTGAAGAATTATTAAGCAGTCGATCCGAAAAATTCTTTGTCTTATAAGATTTTATGGCCGCTATGTTAGGTCAACCTAGATAGGTCCTTCCATATCAACACTTGTAAACTTAAGCCGAGTGTGGATTTTCTAAACACTTTTGTTAATCTTGAGTGTCCCCAATAGGGTTTTTCTATCCCCTAATCCCGACCCAAATTTTCGGGCAATCCCGTAATCCCGAGGGTTACCTTTGGCATCTCACCTCCCGCACATACTTACAATCCCAAATCTCGCCCCGATTTCCCTTTAAAATCCCGAATCCCGAGCCTCAAATAAGGGAAATCCCGCATCCCGAAAAACTTATTGGAGACCCTCAATCTTACCTGATCGTTCCAAGCTGATATGCAGTAGAGACTTTCGTCTTTTTCTAAGACAGGAAGAAGTTGTTGAAAGTAAGTGAGAATATCTGGAGAAATGTCCAGGTCTTCTTCAAGTATCACCAAGTAGTTAGCATCAGGGTAACGTGCAAAAGAGGCTGTCAGAGATTTCTTGTAGTGCTGTGGACCAACGATAAAGCTTGTCTCATTCCAAGACAGAGAGGGAATCTCAGGACGTTGGCCGAGATATGTAGACTTCACTAAATTTATTTTTGCAGGTTGCAATTAAACGGAAGTCGGATCAATTTATGTCTCTGGGAAACTGCCCACCTACCCCTCCCCTAAGCCGTCATTTTGCTCAAAGTGAGAAGTTAGTGTTAATGTTCGCCTAGAAGAGGGGTAGGTGGGCAACTTCCCAGAAACCTATATTGATCCCGGAAGTGTAATTCCTGAGACGTCCGAACATTTTAATCGATTGTTTGAAACGTCATCAAGTCCACGCTCGACCGCCTCAAAGCAAGCAATGCAGAATATTGTAATGGTGACTGTTGAATTATCTCTTGACAACGCGAAATAAAAGTTTGCAAACCTCTCTGGAAGCCAACTTCCGATTAACTCATGCAAGCCTTCAATTAATCTGGAATAAATCTTTGGAGGTACACTGGCGTGTCCCTAGCTAAATGCTTGTCTTATACAGAACAAGAATTCAACGTTGATCGTTTATGTATATATTGAGAGCCTAACACTATGACTACTTCAAAATAAAGGCCACTTGAGCAACCATTTCAATGGGACTCGCACTCGAATTCGGCATATTATGGACATTGAATTACCGCGGTAACATTAAGAAAAAATAATTGGAATTAAAGTAAGTCTGTGATTGTTCCTATATATTTACCTCGATCAGTCGGATCACTAAACGTTTCGGGGAAACTGCCCACCTACCCCTCCCCTAAGCCAGCATAAACACTTACTTCTCACTTAAGGCAAGGTGTTGAATTAGGGGAGGGGTAGGTGGGCAGTTTCCTAGTCGTCATGTTTCGCCTTTTGTACAACTCCTTAAATATTATTTGATGTTGTGTTTGAGAGATTGGCAGAGAAATTCTTCTGAGACTATCACTAAAGACAGGGAAAAAAATTGGTGAATAGTAGGTGAACGGCGCGTCCCTAGTAACGATTCCAGAAACAACTGCTGAACACTTTTCGGCTCCAAGTCTTCAGTTTATGTGACCTGGGCTATTCTGGCGTGTTACCTGGGATATTCTCGCGTGGTACCTGGGCTATTCTTGAGTGTCAGCTGGGTTATTCTGGCGTGTTACCTGGACTATTCTCGTGTGTTACGTTGACTATTCTCGCGTGTTACCTTAACTATTCTCGCGTGTTACCTGGGCTATTCTCGCGTCTTACCTGGGCTATTCTTGCGTTCTTCTCACTTATAGGCTCATGTTGATCAACCTTCAGACCAAACATCCGGGCAACATAGGCGGGCTCATCAAAGAAGCCGTCAATAAAAACTGTTACCATGGATGGCATCAGCCCCTGGACTTCCCGCAACGTCTTTAGCATTCTGAACAAGTACTGGGGTCGATTACTAGCCATGACTAGAACCGGAAGTTCAATGCGTGTGCCATCAGGTAAAGCAGGGGGCTCAAAGGCGATTGACGCAGGATTGTTACCTTAAAAAAAAACAAGGCAGTATGTAAAGCTACTATTCGTCTTTGAGGTCATTCTATAGTACCTTATCGCGTCCGTCAGAACGCGTCCTAATCTTGTGTTCCCGTGGCATTAAGGCAGAAACTTTCGAGCTATCACGGGCGACTGCCGATTAGCCGGCCCTATTAATTTTATCAGGGGCTTCTCAGCCGGGAAACTGGACTCCTTTTGACTCGATTTTGTTTCCGTAAGTGACGAACTTCGATCCGTAATCAATGATTACCTCTACCATAAAAGGTAGAACAAGCATAATATGTAAGCGTTTTACGCGATCGACTTTTGTATTGCTCTTTAACGAAATACAGAGCCATCCAGTGACAAGTTAGAATGGAACTTGGTTTCCCCAAAGATAATGGGATATTACTATGTTAAGCCAGTTACTTACAGTTACAAATGCCAGTATAGCCATCAAACGTATCACAAAACTTTCTCCGTCGGTGGTTCTCTTCGTTGTCTTCCCAAGAACACCTCACAACGCTTTCAGGCCTGAGCGGAACTGTTGTGTGGATGGTAACGGGTGGCGCCCAGTCATGTTCGATTGCTGAATGCTGGAAACCCTCAGCGTAAACAAACTTTTCGTTGTTTATTCGCTGAGCCACAAATGCCCACATGTCTCGCCAGCCTAACTGGTTAATGAAGCTGCTTCCCAGTTTTCTGATAAAGCTGCGGGCGTAGATCATTAAACTTGCTGTAGCCTCGTCCTGGAATAGAGATGACACCATCATTATCGTCATTTTCATCGTCAA